CAAACACACGTGAAGAAAGTATTGATGCAATGACTCGCACGAAAAACGCGGACGGAAATCGTCTGTTTAGGGATAACCGGCATGTGCTGCGAACACTGGTAAAATGCATGCAAAAGCACCACGGGGTCTCACCAACGAAGCCTGGAAACGCACCCGTTAGCAAATATACATATATATATATATATATATACCCCCTACTTCAAATACCCACATGTTATAGGGTATACCACCTTTTTAGAAGAGGGCCGACAAATCATACCATACAAAAACAAAGGTATTGGGTGCAAAAGCCGACAAAGTGTGGTTCGCTTGGTGGCTTCACGCCTCTCCCTGGCAACACGAAGAGGGTTGTTATTTTCAGGTGCAACTTTTCGGGGGTCAACTTCTTTGGGGTGCCCGAACCCCCTTATTGGTGCGGGTTTGGAACAGAAAGCAAGAACAACAGGTTTGTCTTTTGGAGTATATAGGTTTCGGTTGCATGACCAGGGCGCTGCTGTCGCCATGGTCCTCCCTGGGGTCTCCCAAGAATCGCCTTCCGATCTCGATTTGCTTCAGCTCGAGAAAGATCTTTCCGAATCCGTCCAATCAGATTTGAAGCCTCGCAAACGGTGGGCGCTGAACATGGTATTCAAAAGGTTGGCTTTTCCCGTTTTGTGTTTCAGGCTCGCGTTTGGCAACTTGCATGCAGAACGAACCTTCCCTCACCATGAAGGTGGATGTTCACTTGCCTAGTGGAGATGGCTGCTTCATAGAAATCTCACCGGAGACGCCCGTCAGCGGGCTGAAGGCTGCAGCACAGCAGCATTTTCAGCGCCGCTTAAAGCTCACTGCGCAAGGCCTGCAGCTCGATTTGACAGCCACGCTGAGCGAGGCCGGGTTGCGAGATGGGGACGCAGTGACTGCGGTTGTGCAGCTGGGCCATCTGGCTGCAACCGAAAAGGCGTTTGCTTGGCATGGCCACGAGGGCGAGGTTGTGACCTGGCCTTTTGGAATCTTTGGTGGAGACAGCAGCCAGGTGCACGAGCATCTGAGAAATGTTCAGAGCATCCAAGCAACTGGCAGTGCTTTTGCTGCCATTCTTGAATCTGGAAGTGTTCTGACATGGGGTCATCCATACTTTGGCGGAGACAGCAGTCAGGTTCACGAGCAGCTGAGGAACGTCCAGAGCATCCAAGCAACTCGGCGTGCTTTTGCTGCCATTCTTGAATCTGGAAGTGTTGTGACATGGGGTGGTGCAGACAGCAGCCAGGTGCAAGAGCAGCTGAGGAACGTCCAGAGCATCCAAGCAACTTGGTGTGCTTTTGCTGCCATTCTTGAATCTGGAAGTGTTGTTACGTGGGGTCGTCGAGACGATGGCGGAGACAGCAGCCAGGTGCACGAGCATCTCAGGAACGTCCAGAGCATCCAAGCAACTGAATGTGCTTTTGCTGCCATTCTTGAATCCGGGGCTGTTGTGACCTGGGGTCATTCTGAAAATGGCGGAGACAGCAGCCAGGTGCAAGAGCAGCTGAGGAGCGTCCAGAGCATTCAAGCAACTCGCAGGGCTTTCGCTGCCATTCTTGAATCTGGGGCTGTTGTGACATGGGGTCACCCAGCATTTGGCGGAGACAGCAGCCAGGTGCGAGAGCAGCTGAGGAACGTCCAGAGCATCCAAGCAACTGGCCGTGCTTTTGCCGCCATTCTTGCATCTGGAAGTGTTGTGACATGGGGTCATCCAGACTTTGGCGGAGACAGCAGCCAGGTGCCAGCGCAGCTGAGGAGCGTCCAGAGCATTCAAGCAACTCGCAGGGCTTTTGCTGCCATTCTTGAATCCGGGGCTGTTGTGACCTGGGGTCATTCTGAAAATGGCGGAGACAGCAGCGGGGTGCGAGAGCAGCTGAGGAACGTCCAGCGCATCCAAGCAACTGACGGTACCTTTGCTGCCATTCTTGAATCTGGGTCTGTTGTGACCTGGGGTTGTGCAGAAAGTGGCGGAGACAGCAGCCAGGTGCAAGAGCAGCTGAGGAACGTGCAGAGCATACAAGCAACTGGCAATGCTTTTGCTGCCATTCTTGAATCTGGAAGTGTTGTGACATGGGGTCATCCACGGTTTGGCGGAGACAGCAGCCAGGTGCGAGAGCAGCTGAGCTTGTGATCTGGTACTGTTCGTACATTGACGGCGCAAATCTGAGGCGCTAAATCTGTGCTGAAAGAAGGGAATGATTGGTGCACTCAAGGCGTTGCTTGGAGTGGGTGTTTGCTTTAAACTACCTGGGTGCTGGAACGAGGCAAATCTGGGGTGGCTCCGAATTAATTTGGAGTTAACAGTACCAATCCATACAGACGCGTCTTCTATTTTCCGGAACCCCCTTTGAACATGTGTAGTTTTCCCCTTTTCGTTTTGCTTTTGAAGCCATAGTGAAAGAAGTAGAGCTTTTTTTGTTCAAAGGCGTATGAGTTCTGCTCTCTTCGCACATAAGGGATGCCTCGATCCGTGGACTAAAACTCCCATTTTGGGGTGTCAAGGCAGGCCCAACTAAGTTGGTGGAACCCAAGGCTTTTTCGGGATAGCGTTGCCCAAGTTGTATAGCGCATCCATTTCTGAAACATTCCCTTGGTCTCCCGGCTAGGTGCCCCGTCTCTCCCCTTTTTTTGGTTGGGAGATTCGGTTCCCCTACTAAAGCAGACTGCAGGAAGAAAGTTGGTACCCTTATTCCACGGGGGGAAAAAACTAGACCACGGTTGGCCCGAAAGCATCACAGCCCGGCGATCATTCCCGCGCAAGTGTTTTGCTCGATGTGGTCACGAGCAACACACAGCAACTAACCTTGTTCCTGCTATCTTGCCACCTATCGGAGCCCCCCCCTCACACGAGCTTGCCAAGCACGTCAAAGATGACACATATACCGCCCTCGAGCAAAACAGTGACTACAACGCAAGTGACTCTCATGATGATTCTGCGCAATGACTCTCATGATGACTCTGTGCAATGACTCTCATGATGATTCGGTGCAATGACTCTCATGATGACTCTGTGCAACGACTCTCGTGATGACTCCGTTCAATGACTCGTGGGTGATGACTCTATGCAATGGCTGTCATGATGACTCTGTGCAATGACTCTGGCGTGATGACTCTATGCAATGGCTGTGATGACTCTACGCAACGACTCTCATGATGCTTCCGTGCAATGACTCTCATGATGCTTCCGTGCAATGACTCTCATGATGACTCTGTGCAATGATGATTCTGTGCAAGGACTCTCATGATGATTCTGGGTGGGACAACTTCCAAAGACCACTTCGCAAGCAACAAATTCGCACGGCGCCACAGCGAGAGCGCTTCGACACGCACGATCCTCGCAGAGGGTCGCGCGGGCATATTCAGATTTTTGCACATCGACCACGCCGATCCCCGCAGAGGGTTCATCCTGGAATTTCAAAATCGGAAAAAACCCTCAGTTTTTTGACCTCGACCACATGAATCTCCGCAGAGGGTCGCTCGCACAGATCAGAAATCGTAAAAAGTCCACAGGTTTTTGACCTCGACCACACGAATCTCCGCAGAGGGTCACTCGCGCACCGCAGAAATCGTAAAAAGTCCACAGTTTTTTTGACCTCGACCACACGAAGCGACCCTCCGCAGAGGGTTGATTTTCGTAGAGTGCTGTCGGCCCTACCCCGCCGCCCTAAGAAGAAGAAAGGAATTTAAAACTCGTCATGAGTGAGAACTCTCATGAGCATTGCTCCTCGCCAGTGACTCTCACGAGCGTTGCTCCTCGCAAGTGACTCTCTGCTATGACTCTGTGCAATGAGTCTCATGATGATGATGACTCTGTGCAATGACTCTGATGATGATGACTCTTTGCAATGATTCTGATGATGATGACTCAGTGCAATGACTCTGATGATGATAACTCTGTGCAATGATGATAACTCTTTGCAATGACTCTCATGATGATGATGACTCTGTGCAATGACTCTGATGATGATAACTCTTTGCAATGACTCCCATGAATCAAACAGAAGAACCCTTCGCGATGCCTTAGGAAAAAGCTAAAATAGACTGCGGAAAAAAGAAAAAGAAACATCGCGTACCTTTTGTTCTAGCCTCCAAAACTGGAGGACCTAGATCCAGTGGGCCAACCTTGGCCAACCACCCCCTTTCCTATCGACCAGAGGCTACAAACCTTGGAGACCTGATGCGGTTATGGGTACGACCAGGGGTGTGAATAAGTCTGTCCTTCGGCTTTTCAAGGAGGGCGGTTCGGGCGTTGGAGAGACCTTCCGTGGATGGCTTTGGGCGTGTCGTTTTGAGAGTACACCTTCTCGGAGTTGGTTTTCTCTACTGCTGTTGGGTTGGACAGGGCTCCTTAAAACATACATTTTGCCTATTTGAAACATGGCTTTTTCCCCTCATATTTCCTTTTAACCAGCAACAGTTAATTGTTTTTTGCTGGGGGATCTACAGCACCCAAGTTTTTCAGGGGAGACATTCTTCGTATTCCAATCAACCAACTTTGTGGGCGGTTTCCTGGACGTGAGACAGTTTTTGAGCCCCTTTGGGTGGTGATGCTGGTGATCGCGAGGAATGGCGCCATGTTTATCGTCATCAACCGTAGCAAAGGGGATGGCATTGGGTATACTGACCAGAGCGAGACACATCCAGTGTAAGTAGGTAACCATGGTTTCTAAAAGGTAGGTTACCAACGGTACCTACTTGTCTCCAAGGAGAACCCAGGTTGGTGGTTCCTTGGGTTCCCAATATTTCCCCTTTTTGTTTTTTGGGTTCCTAATACTTCCCCTCTTTGTTTTTTGGGTTCCTAATATTTCCCTGTTTTGTTCCTTGCGTTCCCAATATTTTCTCGTTCTGTTCCTTGGGTTCCCGATATTTTCTCTTGTTCCTTGGGTTCCCAATATGTTCCCCTTCTTTTGTGGTTTGTGTCGCTTCCCAAGCACCAGGGCCCGAACCGCTTGCGATCTCATCGCCCGCGGTCGCAAGCGACCGCGATCCGATGTGAGGCGCCGATGTGCGGCGTCTGATCCCCACCTTCGCCAGGGCCCGAGTTTCGATCGAGTCAGATCCGATGACTGAAGTTGGTACCCTCCAAACCCGAAAAAAGAAAACCCTAAAGCCGGTTTACCCGGTGATAAAACCCTGAACCCTAAACCTCCAAACCGTTTAACCCCTATGCCCCAAACCCTACACCCTCCCTCCGTAACGGTTCCATATGGGTATGGGTCAGAATTAAACCGGGGGACCGCAGGTTTTGGTCCATGTTTCCGCTTGCCAGGTGCCGTTTGGGGTGCCGATTTTTGATCCACAGCCATATGTGTTGTTGTTTTTTGGATGTGGACGCCCCTTTCTTCCTATTCTTGCTTGTTCTCAGCAGCGAATGAGTTGGAATGACCCCGAGAAAAACCATCCCCAATGGTTTCTTGTAAGGGAATCCCCTTTCGGTGCATTCCCACCACTCGCAAGGTCATTCCCTGCTGAGCACCCAGCAGGTGTGGGTTTCCTTTTTAGCAACTGCACGTTGCCGTCAATAGATACTCATGGTTTCCCCGGGGTCGGCATGGAGCCGATCAAAAGACGTCGGCTTGCTTTTGGATTCCACTGGCGAGAGGTCTGTGCCGGTTGCACATGTTACTTTGGCTGTTCCCCTCAGTTGGTGGTTTGGAGCCCGGGTGGTTTGGATTTGAATTTGAACCTAATTCTTATAACGGGAAACTACCCTAAACCACCAAACCACCGGGCTCCAATCCAATGAGTGGGAGCTTTCCATTTGCGACGCGGAAGCTGGCAGCTGTCGGACGAGACATCGCTGCGAAACAGCGCAGCGCGGATTGCGTTTCCCGGGCCAATCCAAAAGCGCGATGCCCCAAACGCCAGGAAGATTCCTTCCATTTGCTTTTTTTTTTTTTGAAGAAACTTATTTTGCCCTGTTTGGTTTTAAAGGGCATCTATGACTACTGGACTTTTTTCTTTCCAGGACGCTTAAGCAAATGGAAGATTCGAAGTCGCTGGCGACTCCCGAGACGGCTTGGACAGCTGGCTCGGCGGAGTCCGCCGATCCGCTGAGCGCGGATCAATGGCGAGCCCGGATTGGGTCGCGGATCAATGGCTTTTTCCCGGGCCCCTTGAAAAATCACAATAAAAAAATGCGCGTTGCCGTATCCATGAAAATGTGGGAGTAAGGTCCAGTTAAGAGCCAGCTAATCCTTGCACTAGTGGCTCAGGCCACTGTAAGCCGTTGCAGGTGGGGGGGGGGGCGGGGTTTTAGGGGGGGCGCAGGCGAATGCAAATTCACGCAAAGCATGCAAGCAGCTATTCAGTAGCGGTGTTGATTAACAAACATAGTGTGTTATACTTCTTGTTGCCACGTGGCTTCATTATATGGGTATGGGTCAACATGAAACCACCAGCCCCAGGTTTTAGTCCTTGGTTTCCATTCACCAGGGTTCCATTTTGGGTACCAATTTTTGACCCACAGCCATATTGGTCAAGGCCTCAAAAGTTAGAGCAAACACTTTTTCCGGCCAGAAAAAACTCAGCAGGGCAGCATGTTCACCTGGCAAAGATCAAATAACAACCTTAACAACCATGAACCGGACACCGGGTGGTGGGGGTGGTGGGGGTGGGGATGAGTAGAGGTGGTGGGGGTGGTGGGGGTGGTGGGGGTGGTGGGGGTTGTTGGGGGTTGGTGGGGGTGGTGGGGGTTGTTGGGGGTGGTGGGGGTGGTGGGGGTTGTTGGGGGTGGTGGGGGTGGTGGGGGTGGTGGGGGTGGTGGGGGTGGTGGGGGTGGTGGGGGTGGTGGGGGTGGTGGGGGTGGTGGGGGTGGTGGGGGTGGTGGGGGTGGTGGGGGTGGTGGGTGGTGGTGGGGGTGGTGGGGTGGTGGGGTTGGTGCATGGGGGGAATACATTATGCAGACTATTGCACTACGTCATTCTAGAACCTGTAAAACCAATCCAACAGCTGTTAGTAAGCACACAAGCGTGAAGAATTTGACACTGGAGACAAACAATGGGTTGGACGACTTACTATTTTGGCAGCTCAAGACGTTGGGTTTTCGATGCGCTTGCTCCACCGGGGGCTTCGCTTTTAGCTCTTTTGAGATGGGTTTTTGATTTTGCGAGGGTCCCTTTTTGGGAGTGTCTTAAAGGGAAGTCAAATGGATTTGCCTATCTGGAGACAACGATAGACGCCAAGGTTTGCTCAGAAATCTATAGACTTTGCTTTGCTTATAACTTTCTGTGTCACCAAGGAAACTCCCTTAAAAGCGACACTGCATTAGTGCCGGTTCCCCTACTAAAATAGACTACAGAAAAAAAGGGTACCCTTGTTCTAATCTCTCCACTGGAGGACCTAGACAGAAAACGGAAAAGCTGGTTTCCACCACCGGGCCGCATTTTTCCGAGACTTCATGCAGCCGTTTCTCTTGGGACGTCTTCCTTGCTCCTCCCCCCCCACTCCAAATACCCACGTTTTTTAGTTGGTATTCTATTTTGAAAACCTGGCTTTTTAAGGTAAATACCTCCTTTTTTAGTAGAGGGTCGACATTATACAGTATATCCTAAAAAGAGGTGGGAATTTGGAGTCGCGGGTGAGGTTGGCCATGACCGGGCAGCCCATGCCGAACGAGTGGCGCTTTTGCGTTTGCCGCCTCGACGCATTTGAGGTCCACCGAAGCTCGGTGATTCCGCTTCCCCCTACTCCAAGTACACACGATTTTTAGTTGGTACTTTGGACAAAAACCTGGTGTTCCATGGTAAATACCTCCTTTTTTGGTGGAGGGTCGACATCGTGCCCTCAAAAAACGAGGGTATTTGGAGGGGGTTCCCATGCGCCCTTCAAAAACCAAACAAACTCTTTCAATGTTGACTCTGCAGTAATTCCAGGACATCCCAAAATGATTAACAGATAGAACCCCAGTTCATGAATAGGGGGGTGTTTCCCTCCAAAAGGGAGCCAGGAGTTCTCATTCCCAGATATTTTTCAGAGAATGCAGGAACCAGCAAAGGGAGGGTGCGGCCCATGGCTAGAAAACGGCCGGAGGAAACGGGTAACTGAAAGGGGCCACAGCCTTTGAACCCGTTGCTTTGAAGGCTTGTCAAAATACCCCCTACTCCAAATACCTGCGTTGTTTAGTTTGTATTTTCGGAAAAACCGATCGGGTTTTTACGGTAAATACCGATCCCTTTTTTGTAAAGGGTCGACAACGCATACCCTAGAAAAAGGCATCGGGTATTTCGAGTATGGGGTAGACTTAGGCCAGTTTGACTTATGCCAAACTCCGGGTGCGGAGTAGGTTCGTGTCACCCGGTATTTGGAGACGGGGCCCAGGGAGTCCGAAGGGATGAGTTACGGAGGCCGAATTTAAACACGGGTTGGTTTTTTACGGCCTTTTTACGGGCGGTTTACGGGGTGTCTACGGCCGTTGACAGAAGGCCTAAGTTACGGCCGAGGAAGCTCTGGGGGGGTACCTTTTTTTTGGGGGGGTTTTGGGGACCCTTCCGGAGCGGAACACCAACGCCAAAAATGGGGGGTCCCGGCTTGGAGTCTCCAGGTAAGCCCTCCCAGCTAGGTACACTTCTCTCCCCTTTTTTGGTTGGCAGGGTTCCCCTACTAAAATAGACCACAGAAAAAAGTGGGTACCCTTATTCTAGCCTCTCGACTAGAGGACCTATTTTTCCATTTGTTTCTGAGAAGTCTGTTCGCTCCTAACGAAGCGGAGGGCTGTTATTCACTACGGCCGAATCTGGGCCAAAAGGGTCAGGGCAATCAAGGGAACCGCTAGAGATGTCGCATATGTTTCCTGGGTTGTTACCCAAGTTCCTGAAATTCAGACTGTGGCGACAACTGTTTCTGACCAATCTTCAATGTTTATAAGGGAGAGATGGCGGATTTTTTTCAGAGGGTACTTTGTTTTGGACGGTTTAAAAGGGCGCCAGAAGGAAACCCACACTTTTGCCCGTGAGAAGAAAGAGGCGAGCTGATGGGTTTTGCCCCAAAAAAGAGTTTAGGGGTTGTGGGTTTCAGAAGTCTCATCCTGGTAGCCCAGAGCTTCCTCGGCCTGAGTAACTTAGGCCTTTTGTCAACGGCCGTAGACACCCCGTAAAAAGGCCGAAAAAAACCTCCGTGTTTAAACGGCCTCCGTAACTCAGGCCTTTGGACTCCCTGGGTAGGTTTTCTTTTTGGGTGTGAGTTCATGATGTCATGGGCTTTTTGACCCCCAATGCTGCTTGGATTTCCTCCCGGCCGTTTTTGCAAGGAAGCCACAAGAGGGGGTTTCCCGAGGAGGGGCTTCCCGCATCAAATGGACGGCTCGTCTTTTTTTTTACGGGCTGGAACCCAAAATGGATTTCGGTGTTCCTTTTGGCCTTCCAGTTGAGAGACTTATCCCAAAGGCTCGTCTTGAGGGAACCCCACAACATCTTTGCCTCGCGCTTCCTTGTGGCATAGAAACGGTATCCCCGAAAAAATCGAGGGTTCCAACCAGCGTCTACGCGGCGCCGTTCAAGTCCCCGCACCCCCAGGCTGAAGGCTGTGATGGCGCCCACGTTTCACCTCTAGGGTCCCCTCCCGTTCCGCCGGTTCCTCCGTGCCCCGGGCCGGTCACCGGTCTGGGCCTATTTGGCCTTTTGATGACATATTTTTTCGTCTACCTGGAGCCTCCATGAAATTAAACCATGATCATGTCGTTTGCTGAAAATAAGAGATGGGCCATGAACCTCCTGGTTTCAACGGTCATGGAGACTCCGGACACCCACACCACCATGTTTTTGCTTGTGGCTACCCCTGTTTTGTGGGTTTTGAAGGCAAACACTTATTCGGCCTCAACCCCTCAAACTGTGCGGGGCGGACAGTTGGGGGGTTCTTTGGGAGGGGATGAGAGGAACCTGATCGCGCCCAATTTGGCCAGCGGACACATCGAGGCGAGTCGTCGCCCTGGAGCTAAGAAGAAATACACGTGGAGCCCGCGTTTGTTTGTTCTGGTTAGTTGGTTTGCGTGTAGGGTTGCCTGTTTCCCAGAAAATACCCCCCCCCCAAGCAAAAATAAGACGCACCAAACAACAAAATGACATCAAACACAGCATGTTGTCCTTGCATAAGGCTTATTGGGGATGTACCTAGGACCAAGGTTAGTTTCTGGTACCCTTGGTCGCTTGAGCTGACTTCAAGCCCAGAACGCGGACCAAATCGAAGTCTCTGTTGCGTGCTTTGCTGGTATTCTTCCATTTGGAGCCAAGGGAATCGATTTCACTTCTGGACATATTTCTATTTTTTCCAGGGGACTTAAGCAAATGGGGCTCAACAAGTCTCGGGGTGTCGGGTTTTTCCCAGGGTTTTCCTGGCTGCATTCCGCCCGTCGCGGGTAACGGCGGAGCGCGCGCAAACGCGCCTTCCGCCGGCGGGGAAAGTCGCTCTTTTTTTTGCCGGCCCAAGCCCCAGAAGCTTCCAACACCACGAGAAAGCTTAGTCCTGGCTCAGCCATTGTTTCCCACTCTCCCTTCTCTCACTACATTGGCTTGATTCATCAACCCCCTCCCCCCCCCCAAGGTTGACGCCCTCCCCACCTTCACCGGCGCAAGCGCCGGAGAAGCCGCGGACGCCATGTGGCGTGTGAGGGCGAAAGCGTGGCCGCTGGCCGTGCTGCTGCTGCCAGGGAGGAGCTTCTCCGGCCGAGGACCTGGTAAGGGTCGTCTCAATCTTGACTGCTATTGGGCTGGATCTTTAGACTTTAGCTTTTTGGTTGAAGTCTTTAGACTTTCACTTTTGGGGAATTCTTTAGACTTCAACTTGTTGGTTGAAATCAAGGGATTTTCCACTAACCCCCCCCCCAAAAAAAAAGTGAAGCTTTTTGCAGGGGGGTCAACAGCAACCTCCCAAAGAGTACCGACAACAAAATAATGGCTTATCCAAGACAGCCAAAAACGAAGGCTTAGACAAGGAAGCTTCCTTATCCAGACACAAAGGGGGGAGGAAAAGCTATCCATAGGGGAGGGATCATCCAAAGAGGAGGGAAAGCGAAGTGATGAACCCGAAAAAGGGGGGACCCCTTTCAAACCAGGGGAGGAATCCCGGGTTCCCATTACCTCAAAGTTTTTTTAGTCCTTCGGAAACCAAGAATGGGGAGCCCAGATTCACAAACTTGGGCTATGAATACGGGTGTGCTTTTGGTAAGATTGATGGGTTTCCCTGGTGAATGGGCAGGGTGGTTCTGAGGGTTGACCAATAGTTTTTCTCATCAATTGTTTTCTTTGGGAACCACCCATTGCCCCAGAGACAAGACCTATTTTTTTCGAAGAGAAGCATCCCAGAGGAGGCTGGAATGGTCGCTATTGCTCAGGCAGTGTTCTTTGTTTTAGAGCTGGTTTCAAACACGAAAGACTGCTTTCCTTCCAACTAGCAATGCCGCGATTCCCTGTTCGCGCCGTTGTCTCTCGGACGGAAGCTGCCGTGCTATTGAGTCCTTTTGAGGGAGCCACCCCCCCTCCCTTTTTGGATGGGTTCAATGGGACACTAGAGAAAAGCTTATTTTGAGAAAGTCCATGGCTCTATTTCGAGACCGCACCTGGAAACAAAGGGGGTGAGGAATCCAACTTACCCCTACTTCAAATACCCTCTTTTTCTAGGGTATGATGTCAACCCTCTCCTAAAAAAGGAGGCATTTACCATGGAAAACCGATCGGTTTTTCCGAAAACTGCCCACTTTTTTATATTTGGAGTACGGGGGTTAGGGCCATTTCTCCACTTTTTGCCGCAGGCCGAACCCAATTGCGGGAGAATCCCAAATCCGGGGGCAGCGTTGTTAAGTCTTTACTGGGTAGACCAATGCCGATTCGGTGTGTCACAACCAAAACCGATTCGGGTAGCCTAGGTGATTAAGGGGCGGGACTGCCCAGCCGGAAAGCTGCGGAGATGTGCCTTGCAAAGTTCTTGAAGCATGGTTCTGGGTTGACCGTTTCAATACCGGGTTTTCATTGTGACTCAGGCTTTGATTATGACTCAGGGTCTTTTTGGTTGGTGGTTTGGATTGGTGGTTTAGAAAGTTGCCTCCCCAACCACTTACCATGCTAATCAAAGTACTCAGTTGAGTGCTAAACCGCTGGCACATTTTTGTAGATTCTAATACTTG